AATTCTGTTTTCCTTCTTTTATTGAGCCATAATTTGACTTTTATTTTTGACTATCCCCCGCTCCTCCACACAATTTTTCGGCACATAAATTTTGTAAACGATCTTTGAATCTATGAGTGGTGGTTTCTTTAACTGTCGATTTTAGAGATTAAAAGTTTGTGAACAGCTTCATTTTGTGGGCCATCTGTGTTTTGTCCACAAGAGATGATTTCAATTAAGGTGTTGCTTGTTTTATAATTCGTTGAAATTATTTAACAAGAAGTAGCAAGAACTAGGCGTGTACAAAAAAGAAAATAATCTCTTGAGCTTTTTGAGACTGATGCTCCATAACGGTTATTGGTTTCGTTGTTGGACTGTAGTAAAGGTTTGCAGTATTCTACTGTCTTCAATTGAGAGCCATCCACACAGCTACGGGGAAAATGCGTGATTTTAGTATCGTTTTAATATTCTGTTGAGCTGATCACTATAAATGGCGAGAAATAACTGTAATAAATAATGTGGAAACTGAAAGGTTTGTTCTCCAAAATAGTTGTGAGCGTAATTGTTGTATAAAATATTTCCTTATAGATGAAAGAAACAAATTGAAGGAGCCGAACGAACTCTTTGCAGTCTAAATACTTCGTTACGCTTAAATTTTTTTCTCTTTTGTAAAGCTCACTCCCAGCAGTCATGCTCATTACTCATGGCCTTCTGATCTGTCTTGGGTTTTGTCAATATATATTTTAAGTAAAGAACAAAGCTGATTTTTGACAGTTTTATACCTTTGTTGTAAAAGAAGCTCGCAGTTCTGTTTACTATTGGTTCCGGTTTGACGGATGGTCAGTAGACACTCTCTATGATTTGGCACTTTCGAAGTACCAAGAATAATTTAGATCAAAAAGTCTTGTTTCAACTTATCTATTAAAGTACACCTCACTGTTTGCTTTCATTTTCACCCATATTTTGTGCCCTTTTAAATTTCAGATAACACGAAAAGAAAGGATCTCATTCTTTTTTCTCAAATTGTAACTCTAATATCCAAATCTCTTTTGAGCATCTAACTTCATGTTAACCTCTCTTTTCCTGTTTATTCCATTTGTGAGGCATAATTCCATTAAATAATTATATTTTTTTTTTGTGCTTCCAAACCGCTTCGTCTTTCCAATTTTCTTTCGTTTCTTTTTAAAAAAATTTTCTTTATCGACGTTGAAAAAATTTGCTTTTTACTGATCATGGCACAAAGAACAGATATTTGACTAGTCACCTAAATAAACCAAAGCGAACGCCAAAACAATTGTTTGGCAAAAGTTTTAGGCCTGAAATTCACAAATTTCCGAAACATTTAATAAAATTTTAAAAACTTGCATGCATATTTATCATTGTTAGCGTACCAACTGCTCAAAGTATAAATAGAAAAGAGTACGCAAATGAAATAATGACACTTCTGGCAAAAAAAAACCGACATACGAGTCAACAGGTGGCAGGTTAACTTATGTTCATCGCTTTTCTTTATTTACCTTTATCCAATTCTAATATACCGAGACTTTAAATTTGTTTAAAAAAGCCTATATTACTGCTTCTTTACAACACGATTATTGTACCTTCCGCTAAAAACTAGTTTAATGGTGTATCATCGATAACAGTGAACTGCAGAAAAAAGCCCTAAAATGTTCAGTACTGAAGAGGTAAAAGTTTCATATACTCCTTGAGCACAAAAGTCGGTTCAACATGACACCCCAACGATCCTGTTGAATCAGAAAAATAAAATTTTTTTAACGACTGCAGCATGCTTTTTTTAGCTAAGCAGAGCAATATCATGAGCTCAGTAAAATGCGGAAATAAGAGCTAGAAATAACAGATGCAACCGTTGGCCGTAAACGGCGAGCACTTCCTGCAACGCCTAGCTCTTTTATGCAAGTGTTCTTCAGATAATTTAAATAAGAAACTTATTTCTTGGTCCCTAAAGTACTGATTACGTTGGTGAGTCAGATACCTAGAAAACTAGAATTTGCTAACATTTTGCTTTTTAGCCGAAACAACAGACGGACTACCAATAAATCTTAGGTACCCTAAAAAGTTATACTGTACCAGCCGGATTTAGAGACCAACGGCTGCAGGGAGCGACTTGTAAACCATATCGTTATACTTACAGAGTTCGCCTTATCAGCCTGCTATCACAATATGCGAGTCAACGTCATATAATACAAGTGAGGACGCTGTTGTCAAGAGAACTTCTGGAAAAAAGTTGTCCGCGATTCTCTCAAGAACCTAGCCTCTGACTGAAAAGCAACAAACATTTTTCAAAACAGTAGTTTTCCTGAGTAAAGAAAATGATTTTTTCAGAAAATGAGCAATCAAACTAAACGTGGTAATTTTCGCTACGGGATGTTCTCCCAGAAAATAACAGCAGTCACAACTATAGCTAGCCTTTTAATTACTGATTTCCACCTTATGACAAAAGTTGTTCTGGGTCTTTTTAATAAATATTCCTTTCTAAAACAACCAACTTCTGGTTCTTAAAGCAGGCCTTCCATATTACTCCTTTTCTTGGGAACCTCATTCTATAACATCTGGTTGTTTTTATATTTCATTCCCATTCTAGGCCGTTCAGTTAAAGACCCATAACTTTCAGTGGGCATTTTTTATTTGGCCATGAATGCTTCATAATCAGATAAGACGGTGATGGTAGCTGTCTCCGTAATGTACAATTCTTCGCTGACAATTTTATATTTTCTACTTTCATACTGGAATTTAAGGTTAAACAACAATTCCGAACCAAACATAACGAGCTGAAACGTTGTAGATGTTAGTGAACTAAGAATCGCGTGAATCGCGTGTTAATGTTATTAAACAAACCTCGCTGTCCTTCTAAAATAAAATGCCTGTGCGAAAACAAAAGGAACAACGATTCTCACAAAAAAATCCGAGTTGCACAGCAAAACTCATTCGCGAAAAACATTAGTGTGCTTTAACCAACCAATCATCTACACAACTGAATGACCCACTCGCAGTGAACTGTTTGCGGGAACATGTCCACAGGTACTATTGATTTAATGGCAAAAGGCTCCCCAGCAAATTTTTTCGACGTAGGTCGGCACAAATCCACAATGTTCTTTGAAGCCATGGATGGATTGCAAGAAACATACACGAGTTTACGCATACTTGAAAACTGTAAATGCTAAATCCTAGAGCGTTCTATAAATGCAGTTAACACTTTAATTGGAGGAGTAATACTAACCGTTCTACAGCCAAGTATAACTTTGTCCGGAATTCCTGCTCGAGGTGGGTCTAAAATGCCAACCACTGTCGTCTTATCCAGTTCCATGTTTTGGGGTAAATAGGAGTCAATACATGAAAAAACGTCTTCTGCTTTGGCAGCAATAAAACTGCACCTAAATTCAATGATTCATAGACATTCATTTTTCTTTGAACTATAAACATTGAGAACTTTTCAAAATGATAGAGCTTTTTACTCGTCACTGCGACACATATTATCGCTAGCATTCGAACGAGCATCTTCAACCGCACTTTCAACCATTTCAATACCAAGCAAAAAAAACTTCGCGTTTGACTTGGAATGTTTTAAAGCATTTAACATACAAATCCCAATGGAACCAGTGCCGCAACAAATATCCAGCATAAGCACAGCCTGAACGACATAAAAAATCACCAAATTTGAAAAAAAAAGACTAAGAAGACATAGTAATAATTTTTGCTTTTAAAATGAAGAGCAATAAATTACTTTTCAACTACCTGCTTCTCGTCATACTCAGCTAACTTCACTCTCTTAACTTCTTCGGGAGCATCCTCAAAAAGCTCCTTATCTTCCTTTCCTGGCTCAAGAACCTTTTCTTGATCATCAACAGTCGGATTTTTTACTGGCATTAATTCACATTTTTCGAGTATAGTAGAATAAAGGACTTCAGCACCCGAACTGTTCGTTTGAAAGAAAGCTCCAGGTGAAACACGAAATCTTGTTTCCAAGATTGACTCGTAAATATAAGGTGTCCCTAGAACAAAATAATTATTTGTAATTCAGTGAGACAGAATGACAAAAAAGACGGGAATGCTGATACTAAATGACAATTAGAAATAAAGATTACAAAGAGCAAAAAATCGTTTTACACTCTACGAGTTAGCGACTGTTTACCAAAAAGAAAATTAATTAAAGAAATTTAAAAAACTTTTAATATTTACAGTACCTCCAATGTGCTCATAAACTGCTTCATCACTAGCATTCGCTAGCCTTTGCCAAAATACAGAAGTTACCCGAAAACGATAATCTTTTAGGTTACTAAGCCTTAAAAATCTTTTCGAAACATCAGCTTTTAATGTCGCTTCTTGACCTTCATCCTCCATGGGAAATACTGTTACTATAATCATAACATCACAGCCAAATTCGCGAACAGTAAACATTTTCCATACGCCGGTCCTATCGAACTCATTAAAAGGCTAGAAAGCTGCATCTACATACGTTGGGAAAAGAGACTTCGCAAAAAATTTTTTCAAGTTAATTCAACAAATAATTCAAAATAGATGTAATGCTCCAAAAAATATGAATAACTGGCAAAAAAAAA